TCTGGTTCTGGTTCCTCTGGGGACTAGAACCCAGAACCCTCTGGTCCTGGTTCCCCCGGGGACTCCAACCCAGAACCCTCTGGCTGTGAGGCCATGGTGCTAACCGCCCCCTATCTCAGATATTCCATATTTAAATTATTTTTTCGTGTTTTGGCATGTTAGAGCTGTAAAGATACTGCGCCCAATCCTGATCCACCAGTTAACTGTGTAACCCAAGATCCTGATCAAAACCCCAGAAATCCAAGGCACTGGGCTGGGTTAGGAAAAAAAAGTCAGCAATGCTTCTCCAGCCATAACACCTCTGAGGACAAAAGAAACAAAGAATCAACATTTCAAGTCCATTTCTAGCCCTCAATTGTGATTGTGGTGCTTGGAAAAGGTCTGTACAGGAATCAGACGGCAGATGTCAGCAGGTTATGGAGAGATTTGTACACAGGCCTTTCCAACTCGTGTCATAATCATGAGATCATGTCAACACACTCCAAAAAAACCTGCCTGCCATCAAATTAGCAGAAGAAGAAGTATCATCACAATTTAACTAGATAAAATTATGTCTTTTACCTTTTAATGCAGGGACTGAGTTTTGATCCACTCACCAAAAACGGAGCACGAGGGGGAAACCAACTGAGAAAACAGCTAAATAAATGCCTTCGTTACAACTCTAAATGTCTATAAAGGGGCTGAAAATCAAAAAGGTTTTATAAACCGCCAGTTCCAAGTCATTACCGGCTCCCACTGGCTGGAACACACCACATTGGATACGCTTCATCTCTGAGTAAAAACTAGGAATAAAAGCACAATTCCCCAGACAAAATTTTAGTCATCAAAGTGAAACCAAACCAGTTCATCCACCTGGTCCGTTATCCACCTTTTTCTACCCGTTTTACCCATCTCAGCACCAAGCATTAGATGGGACTTTTTCTGTTAGAGGGTAGTCTTACGTTTGGAAGGAGATCTGGATACAAATCGGCATCCTGATGTAAGCCTGGAAGGAAAGAGGTCTTAGTCTGTTTCACTGCTGGTGACTAGTAGATAATGAGCTTAAACAACCCAGTGAGCCTCCAGCTACCAGCCTCAGGCCTGGGGGGGGGGGGCTGATCTCTAAAGATGTCCTTAAGACAAGCCTAAAGGGTCACAAAGGCAAGGTGGCAATCACAGAAACTACTGCAAGACTAAATAACTCAATCATATCAGGCTAAAGATGCATGATAAATTTCACATAAGAATAAAGATGGTGACTTTATGTTATCCATAACTGAAATAATAAGTGGAGTTGTACCTCCTCCTAATGAATTCTTTGCTATGATAACCTACCAACTCAGCTTGAAAAGTCATCAAATTATGAGGTGGTTTTCTAGAAAGACAAAAAGAGCAAGCAAACTGTTCTTTTTTCTTTGTCTTTTGAGATTAAATGCGTTTGTAATAGCGACGCATTCTGGCTCATGTGGGCTTTAAACGGTCCCCAAAATACAAGTGTAGATGTCTACATCGTAGTATACAACTCTAGAAATCATATTGAAACGTTAAAACACAATGTCCTTTTGTTTTTCTTATCGATCTTATCAAATTAGCATTTTGCTCTGGATGCAGAGATACACTTCAAATGTCCAAGCAGTGAAGAAACCAAGAGTCCGTGGTGGTTTTCCTCAAGGCCGAACAGAAAATTGAATTTCCAGAGTTTTTAGTCCCGTGTTGTCTAGGGTGTCACGCTGACAGTGGCGTTATAGTCCCAACTTGTCGTGTTTTTGTGACGGAATTTGGCGTGACGTTCTCAGAATCAGGTAGCTAGCATGCTGCTAGCTAACCGTTGCGGCTAACGGTCGCCGGTTGGCACGGTTGACACACCCCGAATACCGACACCCACTCCCGGCTACTCACTTCCTTCTTGTCCTGGAGACACTCCAGCACCGCCAGGTTGTTGTTCCAGGAGTGTTTGGGGCAGAGCCGGCTGAGGTCCTCCCTGCACACCGCCTCCTCAGCCAACTTCCAGCCGGTAGAGCGTCTCCGGGCCAGAGAGGCCCCGGGTCCCTGGTTCCTCTCCGGGACCACCGGGTTGTTGGCCGCCACCGCCGGTCCCGGGCCTCCGGCGGGATTCTGGAGGCTTTCCGCATTGGCGGCGAGTTTGGCGACGACGCTGTTTTCTCCTCGAATTGGAAGCACCGGCGACAAAACGCACATCAGTAGCAGGAGCAGAGGAACACGTATACAGTCCGCCATCTTCACAGAGTCACTAAGCCTGCTGCTGCGTTCAGGGGCGTCTGGGAATTATGGGAACCGGGAGTACTCGGTTACGTTTTGCGGTCCTACTCTGACTCATCCGAACAGTCACCCAGAAAGTGGGTTCCTAATTCTCCCTGGTTTGATGGTATAGCGGTATAATCAAACTATTACATTGATTAAGTTAAACTACAAATATTACTTTATGTACTGATATATTTTAGACTCCTGCAGGGAAAGTTTATCATAACAAGTTTGTGTTTTGGGAGGGCAATACACGTCCAATAAACATTTCTATAATATAACTTTTTAATCCTGCCAGTTTGTACTTAAATAGTTGGAAAAAATACAATTTAATAGGAAATATTTCCATGTTTGGGCCCATTTATGCACAGATGAGCAGAGCTCCTGATGCTGTGTTCAAGGGAGTGAAAGAGCACATGCATGTGTCTCTGGACACAAAAAAAAAGATTAATTCTATTTTGTACATCAGATCTAGATGTGTGCATTATATAATGACAGAAAAATATAAATTATTACCATTTTCACCTCATTCTTTAAGCGCATAAGTCTTTGATTTGTCACATTTCAATTTGAATGCATATTTAGTTTTATTGTACTTAATCTTAATTAATTGTTGTTTATATATGGTTTGTTTTTAAGTATGCAGTGTCACGTATTGTGTGACAATGCTTTCAAATTAAACACATTATTATTAGCATAGTTACATTTGAGCCTTTTCTCAATGTTGAATAAACGGAACCAAACACATTTTAGAATTAGCTCTTAAGAAAAGACCTCTTAAATCTGGCCTACTCGAAACTCAAAAAGTTAAATGAGAACAAATTAGCTCCATTCTTTAGTTGCTGATGGAATTTGTGTGGTATTTAAGTGTTCCGTGATCTGAATTGGGAATGAACGAGCATACCCTGAATGCAGCATCTACTTCTGTTATGCTGCTGACCAAATATAATTAGAGCTTGAATTATCCAACCAGTCAACATAGTGATTATGTATATAAGGTTATGTTTTTCAAACTTTAGCAAATTGAATGTGAACTGCCTCCGTCATTGTACATTCACCATTTTTTTATCCAATGAAAAACCTGTAAAAGACCATTCAATTCAAAATAAATCACAATTTTATTAACTTTGAAGTTGTACACAGTTGGTAGCAAATATACATATATACAACCTTTAAAAGACAAAAAAGTAACATTTACAATAGTTGACTTTGGCACTTAATGTTCCGTTCGGAGTGAAAAGGACAGTTCTGTCTTAAGACGATGAAAATGAGCCAGAGAGGGAAACGCAGCTGTTTAACTGGACCCGGAGTCGGACTGAATTAAAACACTCCAAGTATGGAGTTTTGATTTTCATGAGGAATTGAAATGTGGTCAGTTCAAGGCCTCTGAGCTGGTGGTCCTTTCATTTAAACGGGGCGGTCATAAACAAGCTGAAGAAGTTTCTAACGTTTCTGGATCGTTTCCAGATGGATGTTTGCACGTTCCAGTTAGCTTTTTTCCACTTCAAGTTTGATCGCTGGCTTCTGGCACTTAAAGAAAAACAACACGCAAAAGTAGGGAATAATAAATCTGGGTCTGGGTCAGGGCGGCCAGTGGAACTCACCAGGTTCATTATCAGTTATGTTTGTGGTGATGCTGCTATTTTATGAGGTGGATTTCAGCATGATTACACTTCTTACCTACAAAAAAAACAAGTTTAGGAATATTCAGAGAGCCTGGACTGAGAGCTTCCTGTTTAAAACTAGCTTAACAACCAAGTTTCAAATCAGAAAATTACTTTTTTTTTTTTAGCCTAGGTGTGTTGTGGTGGGAGGGATGCTGCTATAAAATGTAACAAATGATATGTAAAAACTCTGCTTGGGGATAAATCAGTGTTAAGAGTCAAATCAAAGTTAAATAATAAGGTCCAGATGACTATTACATTCCAGCTCAAAAAACAAGGACTAAACCTTTTGGTCTGAAATAGAAAATGACACTTCTTAGAGCCATAACCACTAAATGAAAAGACAATCAGAAGGCGGAGAGAGGACATCTGTTCATTTTCATGATGTAAAGACTCAGATTTGACCAACTTTTAGGCTAAGTAAGAATGACCTGAGTCCCAACATAAAGCTGCCCCAGACCCAGAAAAAAACCACAAACACCTGAAAGATGAGCTAAATAAAATAAAGGAAATCAAAAAAATAAAAAAGGTAAAAGAAAAGTTTCCTCAAGTCCATCACTCCCTGGGTTTGTTTTTTTTTTTTTCTTCCTCTGTGTGAATGTTTAGCAGCATGTAGATGTCCACGTTTTACCCAGAATGCATCCTGCCTTTGCTTTGTGCTCTGGGACTCCGGTTCACTCCCATCTGTAGAGCTTCAGCATCTTCTCCGTGAGCGCGGCCAGAAAGTGCTCGCCGTTCACCGAGAAGGGTTTGATGTCCAGCACCGGCAGGTCGGCCGGAAGCTTCTGGAGCACCGAGCTGCTGCCTGCATCCCACACCTAGGGGGCGCCATACCGGGAAGAAAGGCAGCAGGAGAAGAAGGAAGGAGGGAGAGTCAGACACTGGGGTTGTCAAAAGTATCGATACTCAAAAAAGTATTTATACGAAAACGTTGTATTTGGATACGATACTCATTTTCAAAAGCATTTTCAAAAGGGGGGGTTGGGCAACATGTACGTCTGGATGGATATCCAACTTCACCCTCATCCAAGTCGGCCATTTTGATTAGGTCACCAATAGGAAGATCCCAGGCAAGAAAATCTTAATTGCTTCATGGCAATATAGACATTCATTTAAAAATAGTTAAATTAATCTCGCCAACACTGAATTCAACTCTATACATAATATCATGTTAAAATAGTGGATGTTAAATAGGTTTGTACAATAAGTACAAACAAGTTTAACGAAAAAATATTCATTTCTCACAATTATGAAGGGTGGAGGGCTAGGGTTAGGGTTAGGGTTAGGGTCATTAATGTGGGCCATGATAACATCAGTAACAGGTCAGTTTGAAACCAAAGACACTAACCTGCCAAAATTAAGTTACATTTTGGTGTCTTTGTTTTTATCCTTGTGGTATCGAAAATGGTATCGAGTATAGGATATTTTTCTGAGTATCGGTATCGAGTTCAAAATTTTAGTATCGTGAAAACCCTATCAGAAACATGAACCCACAGCAAGCCGAGACAGTTCCGAAAATCCTTCAGAACTTAATGATCTTTTACATCTGTCACCCAAATACATCACCAGAAATCATTCCTCATGTGGTCATCAATTTCTACAACTCCTCCCTCAGAGAGTCAGACACCCCCCCTTTGTAAATTATTACTCATTTATTGGCATTATTATTATCACTTATTTTAGATCTATGTATATACATTGTTACATATGTATATATTTATTTATATTTGGTGTGGAATTTTCTATGTACAGTATGTATATGTTGTTGTATTTCTGGAGTTAGTAACAAAAATTATTTATTATTATTATTAAAGTGTTTCTGATTCTGATTCTAAAAACAAACAAGCTGGCAGGAGCAGGTTTGCATATTTTCGCTCTTTAAAACACAGGAATAATAACGATAACAATAATAAGGATAGCAGTTTTATCTGTAATTCTATCAGTAAGTTTTATCTGTATAACTGTAAGGTCCAGAAAGTGTAAACAAAAAAGTGCTCCACAAAACCTGGTTGAAAATGAGACATCTGATTGGCTCATTTTGGGGCGCTCACCATGGTGGAGTTGGAGGCCTCGTCCCCGGCACAGACCAGCATCCCGGCTCCGTCGGGGCTCTTGAAGACGGCGTTCTTGGTGAGCAGCTTGCAGGAGGAGCCGGCGCTGAAGGTCTGCACGGGCGAGCAGGAGCAGCCGGGCAGCTGGCCGGAGTCCTGCTGGGGGCTCCGGTCCAGAGCCATCAGCACGCAGCGCAGAGACGGGTGGGAGCGGCCTGCAGGAACAGAACCGTTTCCATCAGGAAGCTCAATCAAGGAAAATAAAGGGTGTTTACCGATAACATAGTATTGACATAACACAAAATGATAAGTTTCCAATTAGCCAAGAGGAAAGAAATGGTTGTTGTTCCAACAGGGACACCTAATAATTGTGACACGCTTTGGTCAAAATCCCATAAGGATGAAGCCCAATAGCAGTTCAGTCCCCCTGCCTAACCCTAACCCTAACCCTAACCCTGCCAAAACAGCCCCGTTCAGAGCGCTCGCTTTGGAGTGCCTGTCTCTTTAAATGCAAATGAGACACAGGCAATCCACCCACTTCTTCAGGGAGGTGTGCCCACGTCGGCACGCTAACGCTACCATGCTAACGCTACCATGCTAACGCTACCATGCTAACGCTCACGCTACGATGCTAACGCTCACGCTACCACGTCTCCACAGATAGGGGAGTAAGCTGAGGGGGGGGGGCAACATGCAGGTGAAAGGCTGGAATATTATAATGAGCTAGAGCTAATGACGTCAGAAACTACCCACTCCTGAAACCTCCTGATTTATCTCCTGGATTCAGACTGAGGCAGCCCACAAAAACATGACCGAGTCATTTTTTTCCACACTTTGCCTGCTGATAGGCCCTCCACAGTCCCAAATATACATCATTAAATGATTAAAAACTTGGTTTTGCATAATATGTCCCCTTCAAACAGTTAAGCCTCTTCTTCACGTGAACCCGCCTCAAAAGATGGCCACACCAAACAAAGGGGTTCATTATTTCTGTGATCAGTGCTGTAAATGCCTAATACAGTCCAACAGTGAGGTGACTTTACTCTTTTACTTTTTCATTTTCCTCCACTGTTGCGTTTTGACTTTAATAAAGTCTTGAGTAGGGTTGTCACGATACTAAAATTTTCAACTCGATACCGATACTCAGGAAAATACTCGATACTCGATACCATTTTCGATACCACAAGGATAAAAACAAAGACCCCAAAATGTAACTGAATTGTGTCTTTCCTTTCAAACTGACCTGTTACTAATGTTATCGTGACTGGTGGCCCTCATTAATGACCCTAACCCACATTAATGACTAACCCTAACCCTGACCCTAACCCTGACCCTCCACCCTTCATAATTGTGAGAAATAAATATTTTTTGGTTAAACTTGTTTGGACTTATTGTACAAACCTATTTAATATACACTATTTTAACATAATATGTTTATAGTTTAATTAAGTGTTTGAAATATTCATTTCACTATTTTTAAATTAATGTCTATATTGCCATGAAGCAATTAGGATTTTCCTGCCTGGGATCTTCCTATTGGTGACCTAATCAAAATGGCCGATTGGATGTGGGCGGAGTTGGATACGTACTTGATTAATGGTAGCATGTTACTATTAGCCATTAGCCGCAGCTAGCAAGGCTAACGTCTTGTTAATGATCATAAACAACGTATATAAATACATAAATAAATCAGAGAGAAGGGGTCGGTGGTATCGATACTTTTGAAAATGAGTATCGTATCCGGATACAACATTTTAGTATCGATACTTATTCGACAACCCTAGTCTTGAGTCTTACCCGGTCTGTAGGTGACCAGGCAGTGTCTGCTCTCCGGCTCCACCTGGATGTCCGTGCAGCCCCCGTTCTCCAGCGGGAGGAAGTGCGGCCTGTAGGTGGTTTCGTTCACCTGCTCCCAGAAGTACCCCCCCTCCAGGGACCCGGCGATGAGCCCCGCACAGGGGAAGGAGCTGGAGGCCGCGCGCGGGACGTAGCAGAGGGACGCCACCGGACATCTGGACACACAGTTAAACACAAGTACGCGGTCATTCAATTAAATTCAGTTTTATTTATATAGCGCCACATCACAACAACAGTTGTCTCACAGCGCTTTCCAAACAGAGCAGCTCAGACTCCACTCTGAAGTTAATTACAGAAACCCAACAATTCTCAAAGATGAGAGGAGGAGCTGAAATATTAGCTTTAGTACATTTAAAGGAATGGAAGTTGTTGGTATAAGGCATATTGCTATTTATCCTTAAATTAAACTTAATTACAGAAACCCAACAATTCCCACCATGAGCAAGCACTAGGCGACACAGGCAAGGAAAAACTTCCTTTTAACAGGCAAAAACCTCAAGCAGAACTTACTGACTTCTTTATCTATTTATTTACTTTAATTTATTTCTTTAACCCCTTGTGTTCAGCATTATGGCAACAGAATTGTAATCCAAGTGCTCTGCCCGACATTTTGTGTTTGCCAAGGGAGGCCTGTCAGGGTGAGAAGCCTCCCTTAATCATCCAATACTGCTTTATTATTTATTTAAGATGTATTTTTGTTACAGAAGTAAGAGGGTTAATGCCAAACCTGACCGGGGGACAGGAAAAGAGAAAAAAAGAAAGAAAAAAAAGGAGAAAAAAAGATTAAATAAAATAGAATTTAAAAAGTCTATTACTGAATACAAAAAAAAATAAAAACAAAAAAAAAAAAAAAAAAAAAAAAAAAAAGATTCAATAAAATCAAATTTAAAAAGTCTATTACTGACTTGTAATAGAATGCATCCTCAAATCACCAAAAAAAGAGAAAAAAAAGAAAGAAAAAAAGGGGGGGAAAAGGAAATAGAGATTAAATAAAATCTAATTTAAAAAGTCTATTACTGACTTGTAATAGAAACGTATCCTCAGATCACCTGAGCAGCTACTCACAAAAACATCAGAACTTCACGTGTGTGTGTCTGTGTGTGTGTGTGTGTGTGTGAGTGTGTGTGTGTGGATGAATGTGAGAGTGAGTGAGTGAGTGATTGAGTGGGTGAGTGAGTGGGTGAGTGGATGAGTGTGAGAGTGGGTGAGTGGATGAGTGTGAGAGTGTGTGAGTGGGTGAGTGAGTGTGTGAGTGGGTGTGTATATGAGTGAGTGCGTGTGAATGTGTGTGTGTGTGCGTGTGTGTGCGTGTGTGTGTGTGTGTGTGTGTGAGTGGGTGAGTGTGTGAATGAAAGAGTGAGTGAGTGAGTGTGTGTGTAAGTGGGTGAGTGACTGACTGACTGACTGACTGAGTGGGTGAGTGAGTGAGTGTGTGTGTGAATGTGTGAGTGAGTGAGTGTGAATGTGTGAGTGGGTGAGTGGATAATTGTGAATGTTTGAGTGAGTGAGAGTATTTGTGTGTGAGTGTGTGTGAGTGGATGAGTGTGAGTGATTGTGTGTGAGTGTGTGAGAGTGATTGTGTGTGAGTGTGTGAGAGTGGATGAGTGTGAGTATGTGTGTGTGTATATGTGTGTGTGTGTGTGT